CGCAGCCCCCCCCCCCAAGCCATGCCCCCTTCACCTTTGTGAAGGAAATTAACCTCCAGCTATTGAGCGGCGGTCGCGGCCAATCTGGACGCCAAAGCGACGCGTGCTGCTGGCTGCGAGGGAGGGGGGCAATCTGTCCTCAGAGGCAGGCTGCGGCCTCGGGGAGGACAAGCTGCGCCCCCCTCCCCGTGCCACCAGGACAAGACAACAGCCAAGATCGTATGGACCCAGGCTTGGCCCTTTGCTTCCATCCTCTTCGCAGCCTGGCGCAGAGGAAGCACAAAGGCAGCATCTCCGGGGATGGGGGGCAGAACCCCAAGACTAGTAGTGGCCCTGATCCCCTGCCGCGTTGGGAACAAGTAGCAAAGCCACATAAGTTAAATGTGATACGTTGTGAGGAAGATGTCCCTTTATTGAAAGAGAGGGAAACGGACGTTTTCCTGCAAAGCCCTGTGCATCCAGACAGATTTTGCTGTTTTGCTTATGCTTAATTCCACTGAAGGTATTTAATTATTTTCGGATTTTCCCTCAGAAAATACCCTGGCGTGGAAATTTAATAGAATTTTAAAACATGAGTAGTAAGTTGTAACGGGATAGTTGTTAGGATTTATCGAGGGAACAGATATTTGATGATTTTCTTTGTGATATTTTTCTAACTCACAGACTTAAAAGGGAAGGATACATATAACGGAATATATTTCAAAAGCTCTCGCTCTCATTAAAAAAAAAAACCTGTTAATGAGATGAGTGCTAGTTCTGAAAAGAAGTTAGACATCCTACAGTAAGTTGGTCTAAAATGTATAAATGTGTTTCCATCTAAAGTAACTGATGTTATTTCCTTGCTCTCGTGAGCGCTGATGAATACGGCTAGTGAACAGAAGTGGGAAAGGGATTCCGGGACAGCTTTGGCCAATTTTATTTTCTAATCACGAATCCCATCTGGATTGTGGAATAATAGGGCGGGGGGCTGGGTCGGCGATCCCTGACTGACTGGGGGGTATTTGGTCTTGCCTGTGCAACACTCCTTTCATTCAACAGATAACAGGGAGAGGTAGTCACCTGGAGAATCCTTTAAAATAACAACACCCGTCATTGTAAAGAGGGGCGTGGGGTGGGGGACGCAAAACAAAACCCCTGCCTAAATGCAAGGAATTCAAACAGGGCTCTGAATTAAGCCAAGAGAATCTTTTGAAAACTATTGAGACACTGAGATTCAATGGACCCGTTCCTTTTTTTATTTGTGGTTTCTAGTCTTGCTAGTAAAGTGAAATATGCTTTCAGATGGGTACGGTCAAAATTAAGGGGCCCTTGAAAGGTACAAGTATTAAAAACGAATCTCACCACCCCGAGCTGGGGGAGCATCAGGCTGCGAGCACCCCACCGGCAGCCTCTGAGAACCGGCACGCGTGCACCCAGTCGTGGGTTTCCGCTGTTTTCTCCGTGACTTTATTTCTCAGAACCCGTGCACCTGCGGGATGGGGACTAGGAGATACTTGTCTCCCCCAGGAAGAGCGCAGCCCCGCCGCCGCTGCCCGAGCGCCCTGCGTCCGAATACCCGCTGGGAGGAGCTGAGCTGGGGAAGCGCTGAGCGCCGATTTGCCCCCCAGCCCACACTTCAGGGGAGCTTCCCCGAAGCCCACAGGCGTGAGGAACCCAGGAAGGGCCGCCAAAATGTCCTTCCCAGGTCCCAGGTGACTCTCCCTTTGCTGTAGGGCCGTGGCGAGCGCTTGGGAAAGATGCGGCGGCCTCTATCGCTTCCTGTCCTTGTGGCTTCCTCCTTGGACTACTGGGCTGCCGTCGGGGAGCGCGCGGGGTTCACGGTGACCTCCTAGCTCCAGGGAGTTTCTAGAAAGCCTGAAGCATGGAAATGAGTACAAAGGGGGGAATTTCGTCCTAGAAATGGCCTCTTGAGGTGTCCACCAGCCCAAGCAACCCCTGAACTCCTGAGAGGCAGAGACGAGAAGGTCCGCAGTCTCATCCTGCGGCGCCGGCCGAGTTTGGAGACGCCAGGGAGGGGCGAGAGGGAGTTGTCAGATCCCCACCCCCTCCCCCACACACCCCAACCCTCCCTCTGGGCTGAGCGCTCTCCTGCATGTACAGGAGCCCCACCCCAGGCCCTGCTGGCTCCCGAGCCGCGATCCCAGCCTGAAGCCCGCGTTACCGCCTTAGTACCCGCCGTCAGGTCCTGGAGGGGCCCGTGCCCGGAGGGCTGCGCGCGACCCGAGCCCGGGAGAGGCTTTGTGTTTGCAGGAATGAGGAGCTGTTTTGTCCGCCCCAAGGGCACGCGAGAGACACG